ATGAAAACATTCATAAGCCAGAAACATCCGTAAGTCAAAACGATACATTAACTTTCCATAGCTGTTGAGAGCAGATACAGGTCAGACATAAGACAATAAGAAAAAAGAAAATTGTCTTCACTTGTAAAGGCAATGTGGGGCAAAAAACTCCATCCTTCTCATAAGCCCTAAAGAAAAGAATCTACAACCAGGGCAATCTCTTCAGACACTCTGTCTAGAGCAGAAAGATGGACTGAAGCTGGGGAGTGTCTTCCCAGACAAGAAGAAAGCCAGGGGTTTAAATCATGATACCTGAATATGCTAAGCAGGTTTGTTATAGATTCCCACTCGGGCACTGAACTGTGACAATAAGCAGGATGTTCAACCGAGGTGGCCAGAACCAGGAAGCACAAAGCCTGGCTGGGATGCCACAGGATGTGTTTGTTTACCAAATCCTGCACCAACAGACACGATTTTAAAGTACTGTATAAAATCTGCTGCGCCTAAGGGCAATTCTTGTTATTCCATGGAAACCCACTGCTTTTGGGATGGGGACAAAGCTGAACCCATCTCTGCGTGGAGCAGGCAGCGAGGTGGGGGAAGGTAAGACCAATGTCTCCACTTCCTACAATCTACAGTTTCAAGTCATGGGTTTAACACCTGTCCTACGTGAGGACATGCTGAGCTTTTTGACCCACATAGAGATTCTAACCTCAGATGGGTGAATCTGGTGCAGAGACTGCAGTCCATGTACACCAGACACTTGGGTTTGTCTCTTCTGTTCAGTGCAGGAGGGCCCAAGGGTAGGCTAAACTACGTTTTCCCTAATCTGTGCCGTTTGCTTGCCCTGCCAGCCAGAGAACAGCTGTAGTCCATCACTAGCTACATTCCCTAGGACTTTGCACCACATTGTATCAGTCTCTTCTAGACAGAAGCTTGGATCAATTCCTGCCATACACTGGCTATGTGAAGCACATGGCTCCATGTATGGTGCAGTGATCCACGTCAGTGAGCAGCTCCAGGAATCCCTGTGTCCTCCACGCACAGCCAGGTGTGCACATAGACCCATGGCTAGAGGGGTATCAGCACAAGGTCTCCTAACCACAGTGCTCCACAACCTCCACACAGCCCAGAGCTCCACACTAAATGCACTCGCACTAAATGCAGGTTCCTACCTGTGGTCTAAACACTTCCTCCAGCTTTGTTCAGTGGCTCATCACCTGGTGATTTCCCTGAACACAGCTCTAACATTGGTTGTCATTTTTGTGTGGGGCCTCATGACAACCCACAGCTGTGCAGCACAGCTGGGAACTGGAAATCCCCTGCACTGACTTCCTCCCAACTTTTCACAGAGCAGGCAGAAACATTTTCCTTCTCCCTGAACAGCGTGGGCAGGACACTCATGCCTCTCCTAAGGAAACATTCCCATGGCTCAATCCTGCAGGGCACCAACAACCCCTGCTCTTTGCCACACCACCACCACCACCTTCACCTAAGGGCTTAGGAACGAGCACTTCCATCAGTGGGCTCATGCTGTGACCAGCTCCATGTCAGCTGGTGGCTCTGGGAGCACTCTGTGCTCAGCAAGGCTCAGCAAAAGATGCTGCTTTGCCCTTCTGCCTAGAAACCTGCAGCACTGCAGAGGGCAAACCACAGAGCAACCTCCCCATCCACACTCCAGATTTATATGGCTTACTTTCCTCTTCTTAAATCTCTCCTAACAAAGCTTTGTTCGAAGATGATTCACAGATGTTGTCATTACAAAGTTGGTACTTGCCAACAAATAACACATGGGCCTGCTTGAGAAACTGCTGTTCCCACAGCTTTCCCCAAGAAGAGATGCTTGTGGTAACTGGTAAGGCCTGTGAGAATACGACATTTTAAAGCATCTTATACCATACATAATTTTTGTAAAGAATGCTGGTTTCCTGAGAATTTATCTTGTAAAATTATTTGGATAAACCCACATGATACAGAATAGATAATTAAGCCCATTATGACTGAAGAAGGGATCTTTTTAGGTAACAATTGAGCAAAGACTTATTTGTAACAAAGGGATAAACAAAAAACCAGCAATAAATACTGCATCTTAATTAAAGATTTAAAATGAAATTATTAACTGATATGCAGGCATGATTCTCAAGGACTAGAAGGTGACAAACAAAAGGACAGGACTGTACCATCCATTGTAGGATGAACTGAAATGCAGAGATGGCAATCCCCAACCAAAAAACAACCAAAAACCAGGGAAAAGGGTATGAGCAATGAGTGGCTGGAACAGGCATGCACGGAGTCACTTATGTGTTTACCTACTCAGGAACACACTGGAATCCAAAACCAAGGAGCCCGTCCTTCTGTTACCAGTTTGGAAAAGCCATGCGGGGAGACAGCAACACACCCTGTCTGGCAGAGGTTTACTAATAGTTACAAACAGAAATTCTCTGACAATGGACACCCAGATACCGCTGAACCTCCTGGCAATTTACTGGTAAAGAAAAGGTAATTTTTATTCTGGGAGGTGGAAAGAAATGAGCATTCAGGTAGGTTTTCTTTTGCAATGCTCTTAACACTTCAGTGGTAAATATAATTTTCATTTAGGTTTCAAATAAATGACAGATGTAGTAAATTTTTATTGCATTCTAAATTCAGCATTTTACAGGTCGACATTGAAATCCTTTCCTCTATTTTCTGTTTTTCATGGACCTGTTGTTAAAAGCACAACTGCTCTGCCAAAAAGTCTGTTTGGAAAGGCTTTTATTGCCTTTGTTCTGCTGGATGACTCCACGCTGAAACGTGCCCTGATGAGCTCGCTGGCATTTCACAGCTCTTGTTCGTGTCTCACCCATTACCTGCTGTAGTCAGGAAAGATATTCCCACCGACATCACCAAGCTTCCCATCAGGGGATGTGGGATTTGATTTGGGATTTAACTTTAGCTTCAATTCGTATCTTAATTCACTCTGTGTTTCAGGCAAGCTGGGAATAGGCAGTGTTGTCACGTTCCACTTCCACAAAATTAATGGTTAGATGTACTTGACGGGTTTTAAGTTTAGGAAATACAAGTTCACAGGCTGAACAACTGCAAACACCATCTAACAGACATGCAGCAGGAGGAAATTCAACTAATCTGATGTTTGTTATTCTTTAACATTCTATTAAAGCAAAGCAGCTCCATAATGAGATTACTGCATTTTATCTCTTAATTGTATCCAGATATGCAAAAGAGATTTACTGCTAGTGGCTTGTGTACAGTACAATATTTTAAAGCTAATTATGATACAGCATTACTACTGTCACACAATGAAATACTTATTCTTCTGTTATGAATCAATACCATTTTCTAAAATTTATTGTAATTACCTTTTTAATTGGATATACACCCTGCTAAATTCTGAAACAGCTAGTTTTGGAAATGTAATTCTTTTAAATCCAGGATGATATCAGCATAAAATATTTTAATTAAATAGATAGCAATAAAGGGGCAAAGGAGACATTAAGTAGCTTTCCATTATTAAAGGCAGCTGAAAGTCAAGCCTTCAAAGTATTCAAGTTTTTATTTTTGAATGCCTGAACTCTGCCATGCTCCCTGGAAGCATGCACACACATCCTCCCACAACACTGTATTAATGGACTGATTGTTCAGTGAAGAGTGGGTAGCACCTGGCTTTGGTTTGTATTACTCCAGAAGAGAGGAAAGCACATTATAGTATTTATCCTTCCAAATCCCCAGGGCCTAAAACATCTAGAAATCTTTCCATTGCTTATGGAGGTAATACAATAAACAACAACAAAGTTAAGTAAATAGTTTTAAAATAACATCGTATCGTAGTTCTTCTGTCCAAAAACTTCGGTGAGTAGATGATGAAAACCTCTACTTGATCAACAATTTTTAGAAACACTGTCCCCACATGATGTACCTCTGATCACAATGCCATCCACACGAATTAAAATTCAAGTAGTTACAAGCTGGTGCTGCAAATTAGCTGTAACATTTTGCACGTTTCAAAGTTCACATCTAAGCTTGGCTTCCCTGCACAAATATTCACAGCAGGAGCAACTGAAGTCTTGACTACAGACCAATCACAGCAGGTCTGCAAATCTTACCTGAGTGCAGGATATCTTCCCCCCCTCTCCACTCAGCAGCAAAGGGACAAGGAAAAGGCCTTTGTTTATCTCAGCAGCAGTTTAAAACTTACCTGAGTTCCAGCCCTCTCAATAAACATTGTTTTTCAACACTCTTACACCTGTATTTCATCTATACATCCAATCCACACAATACTGACACGCACTATGGCAATTAAAGCAGTTACATTTTGATGAGCTAAAACGAATCAGAATTTACAGATCAGAGAAAGCAATAATATCAAGTATCCAGAAACATCTTACTACTTATTGAGTTACTAAAAGGATTTAACTACATATTATATTGGCAGTATGTAGGTGGAAGCTGTGTTAGATTCTGATGTTGATTCTACACTTGGTGAGGTATTATCCAAGTAATTTAATGAATAAATATTGCAGAATGCATATCTGAGACTATCAAGAAATCTCACTTATCCAGCAGCTCACCACTAGAAAGAAAACCCCACAGTATTTCATGTGTTTTTTCAAGAATACAGACTTTCAGCCAACTCTGTTTGCATCATCCTTCAGTATCATTATGCAATAAATAAATATTTATGTTAACAGCACACTCTGTAAGAACATCAATTTTCTATTTATTTGAAGAGCCCACAATATCTAGGAAGGCTCTTCAGTATTTCTGTGATCTAGATTTCATTGCAGATATTATTCACTCTAAATTTAAGTCTTTTATCTGCACACCAAGTGTTAAATTACATTGGGTTACTGTCTGTATCATTCTGTTTTTACTGCAGCTCTTCACAGATTAGGATTCAAATCCTTTGAATTTATTAGGATTTTGACAGTAATTAAAAGCAGGATAAGTGTGAGCTCTGTCCATCTAATTGTGACATTTACGAATTGCCAAGCTCTGTAAGTACTGACAGCAACTGTGTTTACCTGCTGTGTGGATCCTGTCCCCAGATCCTTGACAACCATCCTCATCATCACAATCTCCACTTGACTCCACCTCTCCACTTCTTCCTCCTCCACTTCCAGCATCTCGGGAAGCCCATCTTTCGAGTTTCAATTTTGCCTTCTCAGCATCCAGCTGAAACGGAAGCAGCAACAAACCAACAATGGTCAGAGTATTCAATGTGCCAGCTGTCCTAGGACTTATTTTGAGTTATTTACAGTTGAACATCACAACATGCTTTACAACCTTTGAAGAGCTGAAGGCATTTGCTACTTTTCACAATGGACTTGGTCACTTGGAAACGCTGGCCCCCGGATATGACTTTTAAGATGGTGCCATTTAAGATGCCTGTACCAACTGCAAGCTGTTCATTAAATGTCACTTGAAATACATTTCTAGGACTGAGCACAGAATAAGAAAAACCTTTTACAGAATAAATCTAAATGTATCATACTAGGTCACACTTGCTCTAACAACACCTTTACTCCCCAAACTCAGCTTTTTGATCTTTAGATAACTCTTTCTCCTGCTGTCACCATGAACAGCTGCCTACTATTAGCACCGTGGGAATGAATGATTTTTCAGTTCACTGGTAGTTCCAAAAGATGAAAAATCCCATTTCACTGGCAGTGAATCTAAACCCAGCTTTTGCAGGGCTCATCAAGAGCAGCGCTATTTGGGAAGAAAAAAAGTAACTGGTTAAGACTAATAAATTCTGTTATAAGGCAAATATTTATCAAGCAAGGAGGATTCAGGAGAAAGCTGAACCTTTCCCCCACACCTGAGGAGCACCAACCAAATGCAAAGATTTTGTACTGCTTCTCAAAGACTCTGTACTGCTGTCAGATTCTGGACCTCTCCAATAACCTTCATCACAAGTATCTTCCTCCCAAAGTATTGCAGATGCATTCCAGGCTTTGTGATCTGCTTCATCTCAGAGGGCCTGGTTATTCTTGGTGCTGAGCAGAACGTGTTTGGAAATGTAGCTACTTTGAAGAGCCAAACCCATTTCACACTAAAAAGGCTGGGAGCTGTGGGAGGAACTGGAGCACAGGGCTAATACAACTTTATTAACTGGGCTGAAAGGATGATGATGGACACAGCAGTTTCTCTGTAGTGGGAAGTTGTGTGTGACAGTTTCCCTCTTCAGCTGCTGTGAGCTGCCATCCCCCACTCTGGGCTGACAAACCCTTGTGTCAGTGCAGCAAAGATCCTGTTCTATGGAACAACAGATACAACTCCTATAGGGCAGAACTCAGGAAATGTTTCACCCTTTCACTGTCTCTTTGCTCATTCTGAAGACACAAATAGCTTCCCATAGTGCAGTGGGGAGCTCAGTAAGTAGGAGGAGAGGGTATGGACTCTAGTGGAGACTCTCTAACTTTACTGCATGATTGTTTTTTATGAACAAGTTGCTTAATGCTGAGCCTTGTTATTCACAGCCTAAAGACTGATGTCATGGCAATACAAACCAACATTTTGTTAAACAATTGGAAAAATTTGCCTATGAGGGAGAAAGATAGCTCAGTTCTTTCACAGATTTATTACATCCTGACTGTGTTAGAAAAGACTCATTCATTCTTAGTTATAATTCTTCAGAATTAAAAGAAATGGCTAAGTGGCAAACAGAATGGACACCAAATTTAATAAAGGCTTTTAATGAGGGCTTGTAAGTCAGAGCAGGAATGTTTACTGCCTGTTAAGATACTCCTTCTTTTCAAAAATTGGATTTCATTCATTGCCCATGGCTCAAATCCTGACCCCAAGTAATACTTGAACCAAATGGGCACCTCCAAGAAGGAAGCTGAGCTTTCCAACACGGGGCACTGCAGCAGTTCACATGCTTCTGGGTTCTTAGTGCCTCCACTACAGCAAGAGATGAGCTGTAGCCCAGATCTGCATCTCCCCTGTATTAATGAAGGTGCACTCAGCTCTTTTTGGCCTGTTAGCAGAGACTTCCACCAAATTATACAAAGCCCTTATATACAAGTTCAGTATCACCACTGAACATCAACTCAGGGACAAGCTGCCAACCCTTTTCACCTTCTGTACCCTTCCCCAACCTCTACTGACAACCTTTCTGTCCCGTGGCTGCCATTTACCCAGAATGATGGACCAGAGCCCAACTCTGTGCATTGATAAGGTGCAGCCACTTCAGTGAGGAGCTCCAGACACACCGTGCAGCTTTGCTGAGAAGGGAATGTCACCATTTCATAGTGACTTGTGATCCAGCATTTTTCTCTTTTCCAGACTCTGAAGGAACACTTGTCTTTTGGCCACCATCAGAGTATTTTAGTAGGATCGTTGTTTTAGTGTGATAGCAAAGCTAACACCAGCACATCTCCATCTCCTTTCTTCATAGAACAATAGAAAGCTTTCTCAAAAGGTCTGAGACTGCATCAAAATACCACAGATTGCATCAGGATGGACTAGGATGGTGAAGCTTTAGGATACCATAATGGAAACCATTAACCTTCATTTTTTACTCTCTGGGTCCAGCTGTGGGCAGGGAATGCCTGCAATACTTTGTGTCTACAGCCTGAAGGGTCTTCAGCAGAGGAACTGGAGGTCATCTGACGGTTCCAGTCATCTTCAGAGACAGCCAAGTTAAAAACCCTGAACAATTCTCCAGGCTGCTGTCACCACTCACTAAAACTTTCTGCTTCCCCAGAGATGGTTACAGAGAGAGCCACAGTCCCTTTTCATGTTTAACACTGGAGATCAGAGATTGGAGTCAGCTGTAGCATTTCTATCATTGCTTACAAGCCACTCTTAAAAAAAAACTTATTTTGCTGACTTATACCCTCCTGCTGATGCATAATGCCATCCACCCATCTCTGGCAACACTGCACAACAACTCCAGCCTGGGAGTGCCGTGTTTTGATGCTGAGAATTGATGACTCGGTTAAATAATTGCAATGAATTTCCGTCTGAGTACTGGAGCTTGTGCCTTTACCTCCACAAAGCAGAGGGTCTCTGCTGCCTAAGATTTCAGGGTATACAGGAATCTTAACAGCTTAAAAATTAAGTCTTCAACTTTTTGCCACAAGTAAAAGGTAATTTTTTTTTTCCTCTTGAAAAAGTTATATAAATAGATCAATAAGATTCGTACAGCCCAAGTGAAAACTGACTCAAATCACAGATTTTCCCAACTGCAATAGGCTTTGGATCAGGTCCATAAACCTCTAAAGGGTTTCTGAGAAAGGATATACAGTGTTTCTGTGAGAAATCTTTAATATCTGACTCAGGTGAAAGATAAAAATCACATATCACTATTCAGCTCTGAGTCACATACAGAAAACTCTGCACTGCATTTTATTTATTCCAGCAAAGGTCCCAACCTTAAGTGACATTAAAAAGAAAAAAAGCCCTGCTGACATAAGGTTTTCTGGAGAAGAGAGAATTCATATGAGAGTGGCTGCTGCCTTTCTCCCCTATTAATAGTTGATGATGTAGCACACGCCTTCCCAGTCACATAAAAGAGTCCTTCAGACTTCAGAGGCTTCAAAGAGTCCGTGACACACAACCCCTGAGCTTTCCACAATGAGTTTAACCCTAATTCTCACTCTGACCACACATGTGTTAGAATATACATCCATTTTCATGAAGGCAGGTTCCAGTTGCATACTGCCACACGTTAACTAAGTAATATCTGTTTCACTCCATGAAAACCATTCTTTAAAAGTGCCAATTTCATTGATCAGTCTATTTTCTGAAGGGTCACGTGTATCTGAGGGGATGACTTCAAACTGCAGGATAACAACCTCATTTCACCAGAAAATAGGTTTTTAAAATTATATTTTGCCCCACAGTTTCAGACTCCTCAGGCCATCAAACACAACAATGAAAATATAAGAGAATACTCCTATTAAATGAAGCCACTTAAAAGTTGTGTGCTTGGAATATTCAGAGACAAATTCCATACAACCATTGCTCCCGAGGGATTTGTTAATTAGCTTTCTACATGACTGATTGCAGTGTGAATGCTTTTCCTCTCTGAAAAGGCAGCTCTGAGGTGAAATCTGACTTGTGTTGTCCACTCGTCACATGAGCACACGTATCACTTGCTGGTGTTCCCAGTGTGATTAAGAAATGGCGGTTTATGTGCTGCATTTAGGAAATCTAAGCTCTTTTCTCAAGGTATTTACAAGTAGCTGCCTTTTTAAAAGTGCTTTAGCGCCATAAATATGATCAGCAGAGACAAAGCCTTTTGCCAGCTTATGAACAAATAATGCACAAAGCCTAATCTTGAAAAGAGTCATAAATGACTCAATCCTTCCATTCACTTTTTTTTTTTTTCAAAAATAAAAATAAAAAATCCTTTCTAAACCATTATTAGGTCAGAAATGACTACAACTGGAAAAGACAATGTGCCTTTGTTTTTGCCCTATTATATACGTTTTTTGTTAGGAACTGACATACTGCTTTAGGCATAAAGCTGTATTTTACTGGTGCCTTGTGACTGAGCAGATGTTCTGTCATTCCATAAAACAATAGCCACATAACAAATTTTAGACATAACTGCCATATATACATATATATATGCTTATTCCAAGAGGGACCTCTCCTCTGAGATAACATTTATGGTTAATTTTCCTCCACATATGCTCTTATCTCCTTTCAAAAAGCATTTGGCAGTTGCTTTTGCTTCTTATTCTCATGTTTGTCTGGCATTTATATATTACAGCATAAATAAGGAAAATACTCTTATTTAGCTTCAATTTTGTCAGACGTTCCCTTTGGTTTGTTTTTCCTTTGTCTCTATGTCATAGACATCAAAAAGGGCCTGACACATTATCCCCTTCTAGCTTCTTCAGGAAGTAGTGCAACTCCAGGAGGCAGCAGCACTCAACTCCTAAATCCTTTTCTTTAGCTGAAGGAAACACATCCAACCTTCTGCAGCAACCAACACCCCCAGCCCTCCTTCTGCTGTGTTTATTCAGATCCTTACAATAACCTTTGCACGGCACATCCCGCTTTACAAGTCACCTGCACACATTACAGTAATTTAGCTGAACAGTTATACATCATTTATGTGACAGTTATGGACTGACAAGAGGGTCAGAATTTTATTCACCTCCCTCCTGACTAGACCTTTTCAACTTGGGAAATGCACTAACACTGGCAGATTCCTT